GATGTTTTATCGATCCACTTCAAGCAACGAACCCCCCCCCCCCCTCCACCGTCCGATCCATTTTGGATCTCACGCCGGAGAGTGTTGGGGTGTCTTAGCTCTGAGTCCTCCACCGCCCAATGGGAGACTTAGGCAATTTTTTAATGCCGTACCAATAGGCATTAACCTTAGGCAAGCTTGTACTTACTTTGGACCGTACCCTCCTCATCATCTGGGGGAGGTAGAGGGGGCGGGGGGCGCATGGCCTCTATTTTTCAGGGGGGGTTCGGGTACGGGTTGGGGGTCGGGTCTATGTGTACTGCATTCTCGAATTGTCCCCTCTATAGCTACTGTGGATTTTCAGTTTGCCGCCATCCTCACTCAACGCGACTATGTGTCCGGCAATCTCCAACACAAATCAACCTGTGAGGTTCCAGTATGTGCGTGCAGGGGGGGGAGGGGTACGTGCGACCTTCCAACGATAGTGCTGCTACTTCTGTAACGCTTGCGATGCTGGAAGCGACGGCTGCATTGAACAGGAAACAAAACAAGAGACAAAAAAAGGTCCGCAGGGACCGTTTGGGGGGAAAACTCCACCGGTGGATGACCGGCTCACGTTGCGTGCTACAGATGCCAAATGGTGGAGGGCGTGTGTCGGCGACAACAGGCGGGAAGAACAAGGAGCAGAAACTGCAACAACCACAATTGCGCCGCTCAAGCACCCGACAGATTTCTCTCGTTCTCGGGACGAAGACTTCATAAAACGACACCTTATTTCCTTCTCCAAACTAACATCGTTGCAGCGCCCCTCTTCAACGAATAGTAATATCTTGGTCTTTACCGGGACGAAGTGCGACTGGCGCCCTGCGGACCACTTCTGCCAGTCCTGCCCGGCGAAGTCGTCATCGCTCATCGCGTACGCCCTGCACCAACCCAACAACGTTCATCGGACCGAGAGGAAACAAGGAGATTGTTGGAAGCATGCCCGACTCCGGGATGGAAAAACCTCGATGGTCTTCGCTTTGATTTTCGCCAGAAACCAAATCGCTTAACCACACAACTTCTTCTCTATCTCCTGGTTTCGGTGAGGGGTGCCTTGCAGCGACGTACACATAAAATCGCGAACAAAACCACACCAGAAAACGAACTCGTTTCCCACCTACTCGATACGTACGTGACGACCCCCTGCGCTACTACTACTGTTTAGGGTGTGACGTGCCCGACCACTTTCCTTCGGGGGCCCCGCGGCATGCTCCCTTCCGCGTATATGTGTGTGCGACACGCTCATAACGTGTGCCGACACCAACGACCCTGTTACGACGGCAGCTGATTCAGCCAGGCCTGTTCCACCGCCAAGGAAACAGAAGACTACACGAGCTTTCCCGCTGCAAATGGCGTGCTCTTTGTTTCTCTCTATACCTGCAGAGTGCTCCCCCGGCGGCCTCTACAATCGTTTCCACGAGCTCGTCCTTGTGCAGAATCGCGAAAAAGTCACCCGACAGATGTGTTCTTTGAGGTGAAATTGCAACAACAGCGTAGTCGAAGCAGGAAGGGGGCGACAAGGACAAGCGGTGGGGGGAGGATGGGCATCTTTGTTTAGTATCTCCATGGGAAAGGGAGGTATTCGCCCACTGTTGGTCGGCGTAGTCTTGATGTCATTGCCCACGCTACTCCGTTGAGCCGAAGAGATAAAAAGGCTACCAGCTGGATCGCTAAAAACGGTATGGCAAGTAGAACTGGGCTCTTCATGGCACGCATGACACCATCAACGAACTTTCACAAGATGTGATGAATTGCTTCGCTACGTTGTTAGCTGAATCAAAATATTTTGTCGCTTGGGGCCATCGAACGTCTCGTCTTTTCCTGGTGCTCATAACTTGGTTGCTTCATCGGCTTCATCGTTGCTTCAATGACCGCGCGAGAAAGAGGTAGGGGGGACAGACATGATCACGGCAACCAGTCTCAACACAGGAAGGGAATGGAATACTCCTGATTCTCCCAATAGAAACGAGCCCAGTTGATCGATCTCACAACACCTTCCACATGGTACCAAACAAAGGAAACAACAACAGGAAGTTCGACCCAGAAGCAAACACAAGTGTCCAATCCTCTCAGAAGCGTGAGCGCGGTGCGCGAGCACCTCCTACCCCCCCCCCACACACACACCTTCGATCGGCTGTGTGCCGAACCCGGAACGGCCCTTGCCGCCTCGACCTCGTCACCACCGGCCCGAACGCCGCCGTCTCCGGCACCGGCCTCAGCGGCTTCGCCGTTCCTCCCGCGACGAGGTCCTTGAGCCAGCCGACGTGGACCACGGGCCGGAGGCCCAAGAGCGCGAGCACGAGCTTCTCGGTGACGCTGCTGGTGTTGGCGAGGGTGACGAGGTGGGTGCACTTGGCCGCGTCCCACTTCCGGGACACCGCGCCGCCGCACCTCTTGGACAGGGCCTTCAGCTCCGCCTTCTCCTCGGCGGTGAGCTGGGTGGCGCAGAAGCGGAGAGCCTGGAAACGGACCCTGCTCGTTTGCGTTGTTCCGCGCGCAGGAGCGGTGCATCCGGGCATGCGTGTTCTTTGCTGGACAACAGTTCGAAAAGGGGTGCTAATAAACCGGGACAGAAACGAGACCCGGGTTTAGGAGGGCTTTCGGTGACATCCCTGATGGGGGTCACGGGCAGGCCCGTCCGCCGAAGTTCGTCACGCACGTGCGCCACAAGTTTCCACTAGCAGCGCGGACGGCACGAACAAACGTGGTGTGAGTGTGTGTGCTTCCTTCACCTCATGATGCTGTTGGTGGTGCCGACCTTGACCTCGTCCCCTTCCTTGAGGGAGATCTCCTTGTGGGCCTCGCCGGTCTCGCTCCCGTTGACGCAGGTCTTCAGCTTCGAGCCCACGTCCTGCGGCGCGTATACACACAACGCGGAGCGTCATCGCGCGCGACGTGCATGTGTGGGTGCAAAGGACGGCAAAAAGGCAAACCAGAACTTGGGACGAATACCCACGATCAAGGTTAACATATTGTCACTGGCAAAGAAAAAACCGAGAGAGAGAGAATTGAACAAATAGACCCGGGCGACGTGCATCATTACGAGACGAAAAGCAGTCCACCGCGCCAGCGAAGCCAACAGGGTGCAGGGTGGTAGTGTTGGTCGGAGACAAACAGTTGAGACTGCTACCACCACTGTCATGTAGAGGGTCCTAGGGCCTGTTTGTGTTTTCCACGCGCATCGCTGCAAGACGTATGCGATATGAAGGTGGTACCGCTGTTCCTGGGTCTTCGTGGTCGGAAAGTACGAGGGTGCTTACTCTTATGTTTTGCATGTCTTAGCGGTTAGACCATTGACCACGCGTCCTCGAGAGGACGGAGCATTGTTCCCACAGGACCGATCACCGATGGCCAATCGTTCCTTCCTACTTTGCCAAAGGTGGCTCAAAAATGTCTTCCCTAGTCTGTCTATCCTAACGATATCCCTTCCCGCCTTTTCAACCCACCTCCTATGCCCCAGTACAGCTACCGTCCTTTCCTCTCTATTCCATGCCTCAAACATCTCCCTGTACGTTCCATCTATTTTTCCCAGCTCAGTCACGTACACTTCCAAGTACGAGGGTGGGGGCGGATATAAGCTTCCCCGGCGTGATATCGCGAAGACAATGCTTTGAAGGCAAGCGACCCTCAATCTTACAACTCTCGGTTCTGCACAATCATCAAAAAATGATTGATTATTCTCGGGCTCTGTCGTTGCATATAGTCTCGTTGTTCAGAACTGGGTTTCCACGAGATTGTTCCTCAGCCGAGTCATTCAGGAACACGGGAACCGCGGCGTATGTACCTTGACCCAGATGGGCTGGTCGGTCGGATCGTTCCCCGGAACGGGCCCCACCCTTATCTCCGCGTGCTTCCTCGAGACCGACCTGCACAAGCAAAGACCCGAAGAAAGAATCAAAGAGTATCATGATTGCCGAGGGACACAAGGCGGGTTCTACGCAAGCGTCAACCTGGTGTGGGGTGAGGTTGTAGAGGCGTGGATAGGAGAGGTAGCACAACATTTCGTGATGCGCCAAGCTACTGCTGCAGATGCCTACACAAGTGCACCTTTCTACGGGGATGACGCACTGAATCAGGCGGCACGCTTGTGTGGGGTGCTTGAGGAACATGGAAGCAACAAATGGTGCGTGTGCTTCGTGCTATACGGTTACGGAGACGCCCATCCCTAACGGACAGTCGCACGCACACCCAGGCCGGCAGGTTGATAATCTCCCGCAGTATATATAGGATATCCGAGACCTTTCTTGTGTCACTCCGCTGTCCGTCGATGACGCCGTGCGGGGGGCTCATGTATGCGTGCGGTATGGCATGGATGTGATCATTGCATGGCTCGTTGATATCCCCGTTTCGAAGGACAGCAGAATTTAGTATGGATCACAAACTCCCCCCCCGGCGATTGGCTCTCCGTGTGGCATGGACGATACGGCGCCCTTTTCAAACATTTGTCAGGTGCTGGTCTACAGCTGTTGTCTACAGCGGAATCAGTGTATGCAGAATGGATAGAAAGAGGAATCAGTCCCTCCCTGTGGGTGGGACGGAAAGCGTTTTGATTGTCGTTGTCCCGCGCGTTCTTTCCGTTGGTCAGATGGCTACTGACTACTGTACTATGTAGCGCGGTCAACGCTAACTGAAGAAGCACATGACTGCTACACACGTAGACTCCGAACACGGCAGCTGTAGACTACGTAATGCATTCCCACGCCTCTGCCATACGCCTGCATAGCGATTAACCGTTGGTAAGTGGCTTACCTATCTTCAGGAAAGGAGACACTTGAGCCCTTTCTTCCCAAGGTATGGATTCCCTCCGCCATAGCGACGGTGGTGCTCACCTCTGGTGAAACCCGGCACGCAGTCAGTCGTGGTGAAAAACACCAAGAGAGACAAAGAGAGAGAGAGAGAGAGAGAGAATGTTAACCTCTACGCGGTTCAAACGTTTCACTTCTTGTCCCTACAGCACTCCATGTAGGCTACGGCAGTTTGCACAGAAATAAAGGAATGGTGTACATAAGTACATGTCAACTGCGTAGACGTCACATGCATGAAGAGATTTGAAATCAAATTTGCGAATTTGATTGTGCCCAGAATAGGGGGCATGTGGAAGGAGCACGATCACGAATGTTCTGCGCATAGAATCTCGTAGAAAATTCAGTTCAACTTGCCTCCAGTCTTTGAGTCCAGCACATCGAGAAGCCACATTCTCCAACAAGCTTACAGACAGCACTTCGTTTACTTGGTGCTCGGTGTGGATGTGTGCGGCAGTGTGGATGTGCGGAGTGCGGAGCAAATGCGAAGGGGATCGAAGACGTGTACCCCCATGTTTCCCGCTCTGCGCCCCCCCCCCGCCCCGAGCCTGGGGGACTGGAGTACCTGCGCCACAGCGAAAGAGCATGGCCGAGAACAAGACCCCCGAGTTTGAACCTCCCCAGGTTAGTGGAAGGGAAGTCGCGTGGTTTCCATCTATTGTTCGTCTAGATGTACGAATCTTGATTCATGTGGCAAGCGAGGGAGGACACCACACCAATTTTGGTTCACATCCCAGAGGCAGCCGGCAGACACCTGGCAAGAGAGCCCTCGTACTGCTATGGATGCTCTCGTAAGAGAAAGGTGGTTGCGTCAAGACTATGCTGGTCCTGCCTCTGTGGCCTTCTCAGGTCACAGGGAATCGCGTCTACGGTAGGACAAAGTTCTTCTCGGTAGCAGGGGGGCGAGCGTTCAAAACCCTTCAGATTTTTTAGAAAGTTTCTGAAATTCAAACTGCGGTGCGTGCTTGTGTGGGAGCTCGTGCTGGCGGTGGCGGTAGATTATCTGATCTAACAGACTCAGTGTTACCACCAACAACGAGGACAGCGTTACCGTTTCCCATGGTTGAACGATTGGACCAGTGGCCTAGTCGTGAAGGCAAAAGGAGCGGTACCGTTGAGAAAGCTCTTTGCTCTATCGGAGATGTGGTTTTCCCTGGTCTCGTCGCGGGATGTGTGCTGCATATCCGCGTCTTAAAGGTACCATTTTTTTTCACGTGAGTTTATCCTCAGATTATACAATTGTAGATACGAGATCAAACAGCAGTGGCAACACTCCCACGATGTTCGTGTCGCCACTCCTCGTGAATAGGAAAGGGAAATGAGTGTCCCCTCATCCTTTACGTACGATGAACGATACTCATTTCCTGAACTGACCAGCTTATCGGAGAACAACTGAGCAAAAATGTCTGCGTGGTGGGTGGGCGGGTGGGTGAGTGGTGTCTCAACAGAGCACACGCTCGTACCCCTGTGTTGCTGTGGAAAAGGTTGGCAATTGGAAATCGAGACGGAGCTCCAATCTCTCTCGATTGTTGCCTCTCTATTGCGTGACGATCGATTGGAACATTTTCTTCTTTTTCCATCTTTGTTCCTCATACTTCGACTATTTAATGCTTTGAAGTGCAAATTTTTGTGCTGCTGCTGCTAATCCGAGCGATGGTGGAGCAGTTCGGAGCAGCCCACGTATTTTTGTTGGTGGCCGAGACGCACAACGACAACGCGCGCATGTGCACACTTCCCAACCCCCCGCCATGTTGCCTTGTTTGCGTTTCGCGTCTCACCTTGCCTGATGATGACTCCCTTTCTTATTTTGCACCCGTGCTCCTTGTTGTAGGCGTGCGTGCAACGAGTCATCAAGTCGGTGCTGCCTGACAACGTTCAGATCGGCAAGGATGCCAAAGCAGCTTTCTCGCGCAGCGCGGGTATCTTCATAATGTGAGTGAATCATGCACATCTCCGTCCATGCGTGTGGCTGGGACTGCTGGCGAGATTCTATTTTTACGATTATGTACACGTTCCGTTCGCTAATCCGTTTTTACCGTCTGCCATCTACAGCAGGAGTGACTTCGTGACCACCGTCCGAAGTCATGGAACAGATTCGTGTTTCTGTCGTCCACTCAGAGTGTTTATCGAGAAACGAATTGGTTTTGTTCCGATGTACGAAATGTTCGTGAACAGGTACCTGACTGCATGTGCGAATGATTTTTGCCGAGAAGCGAAGCGTCAGACTATCAGCGCCCAGGATGTCATGCAGGCCATCAAGGAGTTGGAGTTTGGAGAGCTGGAGGAGCCGCTCAAAGAGTACCTTGATCAGGTAAACTTATGCTATGTATTTGCGTCGAACATGAAGAGCCCATCGACACAGCGCAGCAATTCAACCGCTTGTGTATAGATTGCTGGCGGTATGGCACTCAATACATTTCACGAGCTCCGTGGAGTATGCTGTTGTGCAAGTTTGTTGATTGAGTTTTTCTACAATGCAACGGTTGATTTGCATGTGTTCCCTAAACAGCAAATCAGCAAATTATGGATTATTTCATCATTTTCACAACTTCATACCGGTTTGTTTCGTTGCAGTATAGGTGAAGGCTGCTTTCATGGACGACATCAAATTGTGCGTGGTCGCGTCATATGTGAGTGTGCACAAGGATGTTCTGTCTCCTTTCAGTCACACCCCTTTCCCCCATATGCTTGCGCTGCTGGCGTGCACGGTTGCCTATCCTACCTACCCGTTGCTGAACCAAAAAGTACCGTCGTGAGGCCAGCGCTAAGAAACAGAGTAAGGCCGCAATGGGGGCTGCAGGGCCTGCAGCAGCAAAGAAGGGGGAGGCAGGCGGTGACATGATGGAGGAGCCAGACGCCGATGATGGGGAAACGGACGGCGCTGGCGCTGGCGCTGGCGATGATACACAAGGTGGTAGAGACAGGGTAGTTAACGCTGCTGGTAGTGCTGATGCCCAACGACAACAACAATCAGGAACCGTGTCGGGCGGCGGTGAGGCGGGAGCTAGTGCGACTCCGACGGGCATGAACGTTGAGCGGCAGGAACCGCCATCCGGTTTGCAGCAGCAGCAGCCGCCGCCGCCACAGCAGCCCCCCGCGGCGTCCGCTGGCCTGGTTCCAATGGACGAGGACGGGGGTAGCCATGCAGCACCGGCACCAGCACCGGCCGTACCTGTTGCCGCTGGTTCGGGCGAGGGCGGCGTTGTAGGGTAGACTGGGAGCCGCCCGAGCGAAGGGAAGGACTTGGTTGTTGTTTGCACGGGAATTCCGCCAAATGGGCGATACGAAATTGTTGTCTACACGTAGATATATACTCGGAGTATATATATATTGTATCATGAAGGGCGTGTGCAGCTACTGGTTCCTCAGCTGCTTGTATATCTTTAACCCGAGAGTATCCAGCGTGCCTGTTTATTGGGGGTCCACGCGAAGCCCATTGTTTTGTGAGCCTTCACGACAAGATGTGAACTGCGATGGGAGAAAGAACGTGTGATTTTCCTGGACATGGATTCTATACATACCACAGGGTACGCAAAAGTATGTTGAACGGCTGGCATGACACGGTCTCCTCCTCAACACTCGGTTCAAACTCAAGTCGAAGCGTGCCTTGTTTCCCACTCTCGCCGCCACCTTCAAAACGTGCGACGTGTACCAGCTTACTGCGCACCTATGAAATTGAGCGAACGCGTCCGATCGAAACATCACCGCATACCGAGCACCGGCAAGCAACACCCCAACTCATGGTTAAACTTAGACTGATCCAATTCGAAGCGCTCCAGTGGCGAGTTGATAGTAAGACCCAATCGGCCGTGCAGTACTTGAGTATCGCAGACATTTGCACGTTGATGGCACACAGCGATCACGAACAATTGGTTTGTACAGGGAACCCAAGATAAGCTTTCATGTCCTTTTCCGCACCCCATTCTAGGGACTCCCGTGTTTTGTGCCGAACCACATGTTCACGAACCCGAGTTCAAGCTCTACCCTTGCCGACCGAACCACCCACATATGCCCAGCCGGGCAGGAGCGCTTCTGCGATGACCGTACGACATCGTGCTCATCACGTTCGGCCGGCGACTCCACCAACGCCAGTTCAACGATGACCCTGCCCACCCCCGACTCCGCCACGATGCCACGCCGCCGCTCCTCCCGAAGTTCCCTGTGTGCCATATCAATAGTATCGTCGTTGTCCTCCCTCGAACGACTGCCCCCGGGGTTAGGTGCCGATCCCTCTGCTGGACAGGCTGCGAACACGATGGGTAGTGTAAAGGCCCAGAGAGAGGCGCCGTCGGGGTCGTACAGAGTGAAATCCGCCAGTAGCACGTCCGCCACAGTGCCTGACAGACCGCCTGGCGTGGAATAGGGCATCCCGGGGCCAGAGCTAAGTGTCCGATCCGGGTCAGACACGGCCGCCGCACCACCACCGAAACTTGCAGCATTGTTTGCGCCAGGGTGCAAAATATCGATACAGACCACTGCAGCTCCGGGGTCCTCGCCCACGGTAGATTGCTGAAGCTGGGGCGTCACATTGCGCGGCGGGCAGACACGACCATCCACAGCGGTCGATGCCTTCTCCCATAAGGGAACTCCCGCCGTCCTTAGGCCGAGCGCAGTCGCAAAGCCTTCGAGGCCGTGGCTAGGGCCGGCCGAGTCGTCGCCGAAATACCGACCGCGGGTACGGCTGCCGCTGTTTGGAGCATTCCTCTCTGTTGCCTTCCTTCGACCATGGGTTGCAACGTCAAGCAGCAACTCATGAGGGAAGTGAACCGTCAAAAAAGCAACCCCGCCATCGTCCATGCCGGAGCCCCGTTGTCCGCCGTGGCTACCGGCGGGGAGCACTCCGAGCAGGGCACAGCCGCGCCGCACGGGAGAAGAGGGCGCGGTTTTCGTGGTACAGGTATGACCACCGCCTCTTTCGCTGCTGCTCGAGCTGCTGCTGCTGCTTCCCGTAATGTCGTACAGTACAATAGCGCTATCAGTGCTCTTTCCGAGCGCTCGGGCCGGTGAGAGAACAGGCCGTTCGTCGATT